GTTGTCTCTGACTGACCCAGATCCTCAGATCAGAGTCTTGTGGATGCAATATGCAGATTTATCCTCTGCAGGATAGTTTGATGGAGCAATTTAAAGAATAAAATCTCTAGATGATGATAAAGTGAAGAGGTTTCTAGTGTTTTAGAGTTAAACAAACCTCCCCCAGGATGGCTCTCCCTGTTTCAGGTGATAACATGACATGTTCAGAGGGTATGGCGACCAGTTTGACCAGAGTTTTAGATCTGACCTTCACTGCAGGTGGAAAAAAACAGCCAAGATAAGGAAACGCCTCATCAGCGGCACACAGATCTGAACTTTGACAACTGTTTTTTTTTTTTTGCCTGATCCTTGAAAATGTTCCTTTTTCTGGATTTATTAAAAAATTCAAAAGTTAAAAAGGTGAATTAGGAGAATTTAACCACTAAAAACATTTCCTCAGTTGCCTCTAATCATGGGCGGTTCTAAGCAGGGGGCCAACGCCCCTGTAGATCATGTCCTGGCCCCTGTTATGGCCCCTGTACCATAACAGTTCTAATGATGATATGCGTTGGAACAGACATGGTTACTGATTTCATTTTTTTCCCCTTACAAATTATGTTTTACAAATTATTTTAAAAGAATAAGGTGATAGCTTCAGCGGGATTGAGATAGGATCCCAGTTTTCATTTGCTAAATGTTTTTTTCAAAACAAATTTTTTAAGTATGCTCTAATTCAGATTTTATAGAAAACGGTAATTTTTACTTAAATTAAGTCAAAAATATGTAAAATTCCTAAATTATGAATGTATATTGACCTAATAGGACATAGAATTTTAAAGTCATAGGGAAATCATATTTCAATGTCAAATCATTCTGGCTTAAATTTGTATATAAATGTTCTCTTTATCAGACCAGACTGTCCCAAAATTTAGAAAATTTCTATTTAAAATTCTGTCTTAAAATCTTTTTTTTTTTTTTCCATTATCTTCTGCAGGCCAGTTAGTTCTACGTCAGCCTGAACCCCTAAATTCGGCCAATCATATATCAGCGGTCATCTGTCAATCACACTTTTCCGGTCATAGCATCTTGATTAATATGTCGCAGCTAATATACGCAACGGTTGAAATCAGAATCCTTTCCTTTCCCATTGAGTTGCATCCCAGTGTTCACGGGGATGGACGTCTGTGTCTTCAGCAGGCGTACACTGCAAAAAATCTGAATCTAGATAAGTCATTTTTTTCTTAAAATAAGTGCATTTGTTCTTGAATTGAGGAGGTAAAAGAGACATTCTGCCAATGAAACAAGACAATTTACACTTAAAATAAGAAAACACTATCGCATTGTCTTATTTCAAGTACTTATTATCTAATTATCTTATTTTAAGAATAAAATTACCAATTCCATTGGCAAACTTTCTCATTTACCTACTCAAATCAAGGGTGAATACACTTATTTAAGGAATTTTTCACTTATTTCTAGATCGTTTTTGCAGTGTAGAGCTAACAGAACTGGCAGCGTTGCGAGGCAAGGGCTCAAACATGTACGGCTGGAAGCCTTCTACACCAAACCAAGCTTCTGCCGCCCTGGCGTCCTCTTCCACAACATCTTCGTCCCCGCTTTCCTCCTCTAAATAAAAAATGGATGACGGAGGAGACTCATCCACGACCTCCGACACTAAACTCTCCTCCTCTTGCATGTTTCCTCTGTCCATAGCGTTCCTTGACAGCGTCGTTTCTAAGTCACCAATTTAGTGCTACTTGGTCCCAATGGAATTTCCCATTGGGAACCTGCTAGCACTAAGATGCTAACTGGTTAGCAAGATGCTTCCGATAAACCGGCCACAATCAAACTTGCTTGCGAACCTTCCGCCACAACAATCCCGCCCCCTTGATAACCAACCAGTCACATTACTTTATTTACTCGGGCACCATTCGGGAGAATTCGGAAATGCAACGGTTGGAACGGCCGCTTTCCTACGACTTTAATCAAACCTAATTGAATAGAAATTTCACTTCATGCAGCTATATTAATATATTTGAATTCCTTGCCCTGTTTTTTATTTAATGTTTTTCTGTGCCTCCATGAAAACACGCTGGCCCCCTCGTACGTTTGTTCTAGAACCTCCACTGCCAAAATAAAAACAAAATAACCCTCCTGTTTAGAAAGATGGAGGGAGAACATTTGGATCAGAGTTCTGACCAATCAGCTGCACAGAACTTATTACGGTTTAACATTTTAACGTTCAAATGTTTTGTATTTAATTGTCTGTTTTCAAGTTAAAGTTGAACTTTCACACTGAAGGAAGGAGGAGGACTGAGAGAAGGATGTTTTAACATCTGACGCCCCCTGCTGGTCAGCCTGAGATTTTAAATCTCAGTTTTATATCCTGGGTAAATATGGGTTTATAAGCTGGAATAAACAGGATAAAAGCTGAAGCTGTTGTATAAAAATCCAGAACAATAAAAGTCAAACAGATTTCACATCCTTTCTGTTTCTGATTTTATTTACACAATTCAAACAGAAATCAATTCTCTGTTGCATCAAACCAGCCAGGTTTATTCTTCACTTAAAATCAAACTATCAGAAAATAGTGAGAAATCAAAAAAAAAAAAAAAAAAAAACTTTCATACTTGAATTTAAAATCTGGTAGAATTTTCCCTCCCCCTCACTATTTTATGTTTTCCAGAAAGTTTTTTTTTTTTTTTTTTTCACACAGAACACAAATAAAAAACATTAAAATTGTTTCTTAAAAGGGTTTTAATAGAAAGTAAACAGAAATAATTCAGTAAAAACATCAAAACATGTTTTTTCCACATTTCTTTTATTCTTATTTTATGAAAACAGATGACTGAATTAATGTGTCTGAAAAATGACGACTTTGACATATACATTTATTTTTTTACTCTGCAAAGTTAAAAATGAGACAATAAGATCAGCTCGTCCAGACAAACCATAATTAGGGTTGTCAAAAGTACTGATATTAAAACGCTGTACCTGAATACAACACTGGGATGACATTAATACTAAATACATGTGTTTGAATATTTTTACTCTTATATATTTGTGAATTCATTTAAAATACTCTCATATTTTGACATATTTAGCATTTAGCTGGACTTTTTAAAACTTGTTTGATGATTCTTTAAAAAAAAAAAAAAATTTAATGTTGAGAACGCTAGAGAAGGTTCCCAGTCATCCAGGTCATATTCAATCCACTGGACTTGCGGGGTGGTTGAGGGCGTTGTTGGCCTGCAAAACACGAAACTGGCCCATGCCTCTGCACTGCAAAAAACTGAAATCTAGATAGGTCTTTTTTTTTCTTAAAATAAGTGCATTTGTTCTTGAATTGAGGAGGTAAAAGAGACATATTGCCAGTGGAACAAGACAATTTACACTAAAAATAAGACAACACAGTTGCATTGTCTTATTTCAATTGCATATTATCTAATTATCTTATTTTAAGAGTAAAATTACTCATTCCATTGGCAAACCATCTCTTTTACCTGCTCAAATTAAGGGTAAATACACTTCATTTAAGAATTTTTTTACTTATTTCTTGATAGTTTTTGCAGTGCATTGTTGTTGTCGAGATGTTTTGGTCTCCATCGTTATGCAGGGCCAGGCCAACAATGACCCTAACGACTCCCCCTTTTCATGCTGCAAAAACAAGCTAGAGATAAGTAAAAACTGACTTTAAAGTGTTTTTATCCCTAATTTGAGTTTGTAAATAAGATGATTTGCCAAAGGAAGTAGTATATTTACTCATAAAATAAGAGAACCAAAAATATGCACTTGTAATAAGACAATGCATTTGTTTGTTTTTTTTATTTTATTTTAAAATGTAAATTGTCTTGTGTTTTACCTCAATTCAAGGAAAAATGCACTTATTTTAAGAAAAAAAAAATATCTATCTAGACTTCAGTTTTTTGCAATGCAGAGCCACAGGCCAGTATCGGGTATTACAGGCCAACAACGGCCGTAATGACTCCCCATTACTAAGGGGTGGAGCAGTTCTTCCGGTTCAATTTGCATGTTTTCTAATCCCTAACAAGGCTTTGTTGGGCTACTCTATAAAATCCTGGACCTCAACGCTAATCCAGACATTTTGAATAGAAAAAGCTTTCTGGATGGGAAGTGAAACGTCTTCAAACGTGGAAAACAAGTCCAGTGTTTTTTTGTTTTTTTTTACTTTTTGGGAATGTTTCTCAGGTTGATAAAAATATTTCTCAATCATTTTATTTTTGTTTTTTTATCCTCATGGTTGTTAAACATAACATAGAGCCTCGATTATTTCCTTGGGATTTTAGTTATGCATTTTAGCAAAGTGACAACCCAACCTCTAACTGTGTAAAAAACAAACTAATAAATATAAATGTATAAACATCCACATTTCAACAAGAAAAATGCTTTATTTTAAAAAGCACAAAGAAATGTGAACTGATCACGACGGCAGATGTTCCTGCTGGTTCCTGCTCGGCACCCTTCAGGACGCCTTCCTCCTGGTCGGCGTCCTCATCAGGTCTTCCTTCTTCCCCGTTCTGCTTCTCAGCAGTCGGAATCTCTGCTTTCTGTCAGTTTAGAACTTTTTGGGAAATGTTTAGAAGGAAATAGTTGGAAGCTGGAAAGCAGAGAGAGCTTCAGGAAGCCTGGAGGAGATTCTGTTCCGTCTAATTTAAACCCGTATGTTGGAATCTGTAGCTATTTGACAGACGGACCTTTAACCGTCCTGATTAATTCCTCCTCTAGTCCTCCTTAGTAATGTGGGGTTCCACAGGGCTCCATTCATGGTCCCATCCTTTTTTCTTTTCATATTCTATCTCTTGACTGGATTATAACTCTGCACCACTTCTTTTTTCAATGTTACGTAGACGACCTTCAGATTTACCTGTTTTTGAGAGCAGGTAGCAGTAACTGTCAACACTACCTCCTTAGTGGTTAATTTCCCATCGATGTTAAGGCTGATTTATGCTCAGGAACCAGGTCGTCTGCGCAGACAGGAGGCCATTTCAATTAGTGGAAAAAATTGCAGGGAGGAATATAAAAAAAATAGTCTAATCACCCAAAAAACTTTTGCTACCCCCATGCAGTACCTCTGTGGAACCCCTAGGGGTCGTGGAACCCTGTTGAAGACCTCTGCTATAAGTCATTGAGCTGTATATGTGTATTAATAAATAAATGAATGAATGATAGAGCCTGGATCATTCTTAGAGTCCACTCTATTTTTCTAGATCTGTTCCTTCAGCGTCACGTTTCTCCTTCTCCTCCTCTTCTCGTCTCATCCTCTCCTCTCTTTCCAGCTCCTCCTGCTCCTTGGCGTCAGCCTCCTTCAGCTTCTCCTCCACGTCCTGCGGGATCTCCACCTCCATCAGGTTCTCCATGCCCTGCTCCGGCTCGTCACCGATCAACACCTGGAAGCACGGAGCGGTAAAGCTACGCTGCACGGCGAGCTGGGGTTCCTTACATTCCACCTGCGTGGACTCCAGGTGTTTCTCACCTGGATGAGCTTCTCGCAGGCGGCCGCCACGTAAACGTCCTTTTCCCAACGGTGGAACTCCCTCAGGATGGGATAAACGTTCTTCTGTTTGAGCGTCTGCCGGCCAGCTTTGGTCGCCGTCAGCTGTGTGTGAAACCAAAGGTGAGGAAGGAAGCGGCCTTAAAGAAAACACATCTGTGGGAGAGTAGGTGTGTCTGGGTACCAGCAGCAGCGTTTCCAGCAGCATCTTCCTGATGTCTGGGTCCTCCTCTCGCTTCTTGTCCTCTGGGAGATACTGCAGGTCCACCGGCAGACCTGAGCAACTCATCAACTTCAGTTCAGCTTCTTCCACCAGAGATTATTCTAGATCAGGGCTCTGCAACCTGCGACCCCGGAGCCACATGGGGCTCTTTAGACCCTCTTCAATGGCTCATAATAATGGCCAAAAAGAAGAATAAATCTATCTGTATAACGGGTCTGTTACAAACGCACACACCCCCCACCACTTCTGGAACCTCGTTAAGGTGAACATGATGGTCTGAAAAGGCCGCTGTGTTTTGTTTACAGAGGAAGATGGTCGGGGCTCTCTGACCTTTTTCCCCCTTTTTATGTTACATAAGAGGCTGAGCAGTTCTACATTCTTTCTCTTAGATTCATTATTTATGACAGCAAAAACCCATCTAAAGATAAATAAAAAACTAATTCTTAAAATAAGTTTATTTCCCCTAATTTGAGCAGGTAATTAAGTTTATCTGCCAATGGAAAAAAAGTATTTCTCCTGTGAAATTAGGCAACTACATAATTTACATTTATGAATCAGGCAAAAAAAAGAAAAGGTTTTGCTTTAGAGATCCTGATGCTTTAATTTCTCCATGTTTCTCCTGTTTATTCTGTGATCGGCTGGTTTTGCCAAACTCTGAAATAAATTCTTGTTTTCTAATGACATCATATATCTGCTGTGGTTAATAGTTTATATCCTGTTCCACTCAGCGTTGGTAATCATCCCATCCAGCAGTGGCGGCCGGCCCATAGGGGGCGCTGGGGCACCGCCCTCCCTGATAAGAAGAGAGAAACGTAAAATATATTTTTAGAAATTAACTCATAAATGTCAGTTTTACTCTCTAGAGTGTGTACCTATAAGCAAAACAAATTATATAAACTACATTTCCCTATCTACTGTCATTCATTTGTGGATTTCCACAGACAGACTCCTACCGTCTCTGTTCTGGGGGCTGTGATCAGACTGACCCACATTTGCAGAGAATCTGTCAATCATGTACTATTGCTAGGTGAATTTAATGGCCAATCAGCGTCTCGGAACTTTATGGTATTGGGGCGCTGAAAATACTGCCCTTTAACAGGCTTCTGAACCCAAGCGCAGGTGCAGACAATTAGAGGGAAGATGGCGAATGTAACGAGCGAGATGCAGCTTCCACCAAATTCGGTGAGATCCTTATTTATCTACCCGTTTGCCAGAAGAACATCCCTGTTGTATGATATGAACATTTCATGTCATGGTTATTGTGACTGTGACGAATCCACAACCTCTAACTTTGCGCGCCACACACACATTCCTGTTATACTGTGTTTGTGAGGACCAATACACTCGCGCTGAGCCCAGTAGCTCCATGAACTTAAAACACACAAGCTGTTCCTGGTTACCTGCTGGCATATTGAGGGTGCACACTTAATATTTCAGTGGGGTTAGCCATGTGTGTGTGTGTGTGTGTGTGTGGGGGGGGGTGTGTGTGTGTGTACGTGTTTATGCTACGGGGACTTGTCATCTTCAGTCTGGCTGCGTCTTTGCTGGGTTCAAACCCAGTTTGGTGTAATTGAATAAGTCAATGAATCTGTGTAAAAGAATTAAGTTGTAAAAATTATTTGTTTTTGTACATCAATTGTTTGTGGAGGTAATATATGGACAAAACTGATTAATGAGAAGAAATCAGAAATAAAGAGAGCCTGAGGTGAGGGGCTTAAACTATTTAATGAGGGCTGTGGGAAGAAGAGCTGCCATTTTTGTTTTCTGTTTCTTTGTTACATTGCTGGTAACTGGAGGGAGGCTGAGGCCCAGAGTATCTTGTACATGTTTAGTTTCTTTTGCACCCTGTTTTGAGTTTTTGAGCTCAATAAATCACCAACACCGGTAACCCGACTGAGACTGGATTCTTGGAGGCCAAAGAACCCCGTCACAGTGACCCAAATCATCACTGTTACTGTTATTATATAGTAAATTAAATCATTACTGTTAAATTGTATGTATTGTCCAATTGTTTATTTGAATTCTTATTCCGGATTAGTTGGAGACATACACTAGGCTATATCAGCCCCACCAAAAATATTTTTCACCAGCCGCCACTGCCATCCAGGTCTGCAGTACTGGGTTGTTGATTAATCAATTAGCAAAATAAAAGATTAATCTATAGGTTCTTTTTCAAAATTATTTTACTCAAAAATAAGATTTAAGATTAAATAAGATATTTTTTCCTTAAAAAAAAGATACAGATTTAAAGCAGACAAAGCTAAAACTAATCAATGAAGGAGTTCTGGAGCAAATATATTGACAAAAATGTATTTTTCTTTAACTTCAATGCAAAATGTTTTAAAAATTTCTTACAATTATAGTTTAATTACTGCTGTATGTGAACCATAAAGCAGTAATTAAACTATAAATGCAGTAAATAGTTTAATTACACTGCAAAAAATTGCAGTCTAAATAAGTCATTTTTTCTTAAAATAAGTGCATTTGTTCTTGGATTTAGGTGCTAAGCGAGACATTTTGCCAATGGAACAAGAGAATTTACATTTAAAATAAGAAAACACAATTACATTGCCTTATTTCAAGTGCATATCATCTAATTATCTTATTTTAAGAGCAAAACTACTCATTTTATTGGCAGATCATCTTATTTACCTGCTCAAATTAAGGGGAAATATACTTCATTCAAGATATTTTTACTCAAATTTAGATAGTTTTTGCAGTGTATAAACTATCATTTAGTTTTTAGGAGATTGTGGAACATTAGGCATACGCTGGATGAATCGGCCAGGTGTGACCGGGCCTTTATATAAGGTTAAATATGTTGCCTAACAAGGGACTGATGCTGTGAATCAGAGGACTGAAAGAGTTTAATTTAGATAAACAGGGATGATGTCTTATCCTTCCTCAACTCAATTTGAAATGAAGCAAATCATATATTTCCTGAGAAATTAGAATCATTTAAAAGATCAGAAACATTTCAAATGAAAAATGACAATAAACATGCTGCTGTTTTTGATCTGAACCACTGATATCGATGATTTTTTCCCCTAAGATGCAGCTGAGACTCGCCTTCATTCTCCTCCTCCGTCAGCTCCTCCGGACCGGCCAGCGGCAGCAGCAGGAACGGCAGGATGTCCACAGCGTCGCTCAGCAACCACTCATGGTGAGCTGCAGGTCGGAGCAGAACTCTGAATTATTCTCTAGAGGCTAAAATATCTTCCATCCAGACTCCTTCCTTTAGACACGTTTCAAAGGTCCAGTTTCTGATTTGACAGCAGCTTCTGTCTGATGGATAAAGACGCTGCTGGCAGCGCTGATTCTAGGAACGTATGGAAATGAGGAAAATGATTCCTAAGTGGTTTGGAATTGGATCTGATGCAGTATTTTAATGGTTTGTCAGGATAAATCGTGGGGATCTGCAGTTACCTCTCTGAGGTAAGCAGGTTTGTGACGTCTGTCTCACCGTGCTCGAAGCAGCAGTTCCGCAGCGTGCCGATGACTCCGCCCCTCCGCACCAACGACCCCTCGTAGTGAGTGAAGGGCAACAATCTCTGGATCACACACCTGGAACAAAAACAGGAGCTGCATCAGATCGACGGACAGAGCTCTGATGTCGTCTCGTTTCAGGGTTCATCTCTGCTGTAGGGAAGGAAACAAATTATTAAAAGACATGTTCCTAACATTTTCTCCTGAGTTATGTGCAGATTTGTACTGTGCAGCTGATAATAGGTGTAATAATATCAAGAAGAAAATCGGGAAAATGTCGTTTAAATGAAGAACTTGGATTCAGTAAGATGAGATCTACAGCAGCAGCTATTGAAAATGGCCGTTCCCAGTGGAACGCCAGCCAAATGGCGGCCATCTTCCCTGCAACTCCCAGCAGAATCCCCTCCAACTTCCAGATTCTGGAGTGACCCCCCTCCTTCTCCTGGGCGTGCATATTTTTTACTCTGACTCCACCCTTTCACTGAATTACAGGGTTAAGCTTCCCTTTTCTTAATGTCAACAAATCATGACATATTTTAGTACTAATATTGATGGACCAGCCAAGGACCCTTCAAGAAAAGTGGGGAAATTTTCAATGGCTGCAACTGTACATGTGACAGAAGCTGGATTTTGATTAATTTTATTAACTCTGCTTTCTGGTAAAAGAAAAAAACAAACCAAATCCCAATTTACGTCCGATCCGACAGAAAATCAAGCCTTATGCTAAGCTCACACTGGACGCAGTAGAAGCAGCGAGTTTCCATCCAAAGTCAATGGTTGACGCACGTCAAGGCACAGCAAAAGGTCCCGCAGCGCGTTTTGAGCAGCAGGCGCAGCGCGTCTGAGCAGCAGGCGCAGCGCGTCTGAGCAGCAGGCGCAGCGCGTCTGAGCAGCAGGCGCAGCGCGTCTGAGCAGCAGGCGCAGCGCGTCTGAGCAGCAGGCGCAGCGCGTCTGAGCAGCAGGCGCAGCGCGTCTGAGCAGCAGGCGCAGCGCGTCTGAGCAGCAGGCGCAGCGCGTCTGAGCAGCAGGCGCAGCGCGTCTGAGCAGCAGGCGCAGCGCGTCTGAGCAGCAGGCGCAGCGCGTCTGAGCAGCAGGCGCAGCGCGTCTGAACAGCAGGCGCAGCGCGTCTGAGCAGCAGGCGCAGCGCGTCTGAGCAGCAGGCGCAGCGCGTCTGAGCAGCAGGCGCAGCGCGTCTGAGCAGCAGGCGCAGCGCGTCTGAGCAGCAGGCGCAGCGCGTCTGAACAGCAAGCGCAGCGCGTCTGAGCAGCAGGCGCAGCGCGTCTGAGCAGCAGGCGCAGCGCGTCTGAACAGCAGGCGCAGCGCGTCGGGAGCGTTTAAGCATTTGACGTGCGCAATATGCCGCAAAAGCGCTGCTGCTTGAGATGGAAAAATTTTACTTTTGCTGCTCGACGCACCGCGTCAACCAATCAGAGAAGCTGAACTGGTAGCTGGCAGGGAGAGAGACACAGCGCTGATGGCGCTCCTCTAAAACAGTTTATTAACGCCTAAATTAACTTAAAACGCAGAATATGTTGGCTTTTATTATCCTGCTGCCTGCAGTTTGGATTATTTAGATGAAAAACACCTACCAGCTGCCGCGGTGAACCGCTAGGAGGCGACCCGGCCAGAGGCTGCTGATGAAGGGATTCCTACTGACAGCGCACCGCAGGTATGTGGGGCTCTGAGCGGCTCCGACAGAAATAATATTAGAAGGCAGGATTATAATCTGAATGAACTGACTGCACTGATTACGTTTTCAGGTGTATTTTCTCACTTAAAAACATATTAAAACTACTTTATTCCCACTGATCACAGTAAATATAGCTGCAAGGCAAAGAAAGGATAGTGAAGCTCCTCCCAACGTGCGTCAGACACACTTTTGCACCGCGCAGCCAGAGCAGTAAAGCTGCTTCAGCCGCGCGTCAGAACTAAACTGGTACAAGCAGCAAAAATGAAGCAGCAGACGTGATTTTGCTGCTCCTGCTGCGTCTGGTGTGAACGCAGCATTAGAGGTCGTGGCGTTTAGCGCTTATTGAGAGTCAAAGGGTATAATCGCACCCGACACGATCTCCTGCAGGGGACACCGTAGCTCCGACTGAGACAGAGCCCAGGTCTGTTTTAGTCGAACTAAGCAGCAATTCAGCAGCAATTTCATGGGTCTGACAGGAAGAGAGACGTGGTTACAAGTAAAACAAATCCGCTTTAAGGCAAAATACAAAATAAAATCTGTTAATCTTAGGGGCAAAGGGTCAGTTTGAAGTAAAACATCGTGTATATAGTAAGAACACTGGAAAAAATCGAAATCTGGATAAGTCATTTCTTTTCTGAAAATAAGTGCATTTGTTTTTGAATTGAGGAGGTAAAAGAGACACTTTGCCAATGGAACAAGACAATTTACACTTAAAATAAGAAAACACAATTGCATCGTCTTATTTCAAGTGCATTTTATCTAATTATCTTATTTTAAGAGTAAAAATACTCATTCCATAAGCAAACTATCTCATTTACCTGCTCAAATTAAGGGTAAATACACTTAATTTAAGACCTTTGATTGTTTTTCCTGTGAAGGACAGACTGGAGCAAAACCAAGCATTGAAACATTAAAATAAAAAAAACTTTCCTTATGATAGAAGTTCAGGAAGACAGAAAATGGGTAAAGTAGTGAAAAAAATGAGGGACAGAAAGTGCAGTTTATCACTTCAGGAGCAGAAATAACCAATATAGGAAAGTATTGATCCTCTTTGAGCCTCACAAAAAACTAAATAACGAGGCAGAGCAGGTAAGTGCAGAGTATCTCTCTCACCTCTATATGGAAAAAATCGAAAGAAAAACTTGGATAAACTTCCCAGATCTCTCTGAGAATCCCCTCTCTGCCTCAGTCACCATGGAAACCGTCCCACGCAGGAAAATTAACCACAAAATTGTCTGACTTTGAGAATATAAGGGGCTGCTCAGTAGGTAGCACTGCTGCCTTGCAGCAGGAAGGTTCCGGGTTTGATTCCCGGTCCTTTCTCAGGGTTCCTACAGTGTAAGGCAAGTTAAAATCAAGACTTTAAGACTTTTTAAGGACCTGTGGGTTCTCTCCGGGTACTCCAGCTTCCTCCCACAGTCCAAAATCATGATGGTTAGGTTAATAGGCTTCTCTAGATTCTCCTTAGGTGTGAGTGTGAATGGTTGTTTGTCCTGTTTGTTTCTGTGTTGTCCTGCGATGGACTGGCAACCTGTCCATGGTGGACCCCGCCTCTCGCCCGTAGACAGCACCCCTCATGACCCCACTTGGAATAAGCATGACAGAAGATGGATGGATGGATTGATGGATGGATGGGTAAAACTAATAATTAAAACATCAGATCGGTATTGACAAAAATCTGGCCCCCCCAAAAAAATTGGTACATCCCTACATGGAACCAACATCCTTTGTGTCTACTCACCAGCCTTTTAAAAACTAATGGAAGAAGCATTTGTTCATAAAAGGCTTTAAAGTTTTTGTTTTGTGATATATTTTGGTGCATCTTTATTTTGGTCTCCATATACAGATGTGATGAAGCTCTTTCTGACTGTCTGATCATCGGCTCACCTGTCCTGGTCCATCATGTAGCTCCTGGCCTCAGGAAGCTGGGTCAGGTTGGACAGCAGGGGGCCCATGTAGTGCAGCTTGGCCTTTTTGTTGTAGCTTTCGTTGCAGAAGATTTCCACCAGTTTGGCCAAACCAACCTCCTCCTGCAGGACCTGAGAGAACCGACAGGGGAAACTTCATCAGCCTCATTAGTTTGACCTCAGATTTATTTCTATCTGCAGCCAAATGTAAAAACCCAGAGTTGCAAAAGCAACCAGCAGAATCGGTTCTACGGTCAGACAAAAAAAAAACAAACAAAAAAAAAATTAATGAAAGCGGTTTTAAGTGGGAATTTTGTGTCTTTTCTGTCTGAGTCACAGTTAAAAGATAAATACTTCAGCGAGCTAAAGCAGGTGTGTGTTGGAGAAATTAGTAAGAAAAGCAAAAAAGAAAACATGTTAGACAAATCCGGATTTTACGTCTGTAAAGAGTCTCACCTCGAACACGGTTCTGCAGGTCTTCTCATGGCGGCTCAGGTTGGACAGGATGGTGGAAATGTGATCAGAGAACAGATAATCTGGATCCTGCAGGTTCTTTAAAAGCACTGGAAGAATTTTCACCTTAGAGACCAGAACCTGAAAGAAACACATTTTCAGCCCAGAACACTGGAGTTAGACCTTTAACAGCTTCCAGAGATCAGAGGGGCTTCAGATTATTATTAAGATGGAGATATTTATAACAGAAGGGCTGCTGAGTGTTTAGTTTAAAGGAAGATTGTAAGATAAAGGTGATATTAATGCATTCTGTTTATAATTCACTTTATGTAACTTTAAGGTCTAAAAAAACAAAAACACAGATAGGACTGGGAAAAAAATAAATCTTAAGATAAAAGATTATTTAGGAGTCATTAAACATGGAAAACAGAAATGTTGTTTAACAGTCTGACCACAGATGATCAGGAAGATCCTTCAACAAACTATGTCCCTCCCTTTCCATGTGGTTTCATGTTCTCTGGTTGCTGCTAATATTAAGTTGGTTTGTTCATAAGAATCCAACAATAGTTAAGGTAAATTAAGTGTAAATGTATTAATCTGGAGGATGCTGCAGCTCCGCATTAATCTGGAGGAGGCTGCAGCTCCGCATTAATCTGGAGGAGGCTGCAGCTCCGCATTAATCTGGAGGAGGCTGCAGCCCCGCATTAATCTGGAGGAGAATGCAGCCCCGCATTAATCTGGAGGAGGCTGCAGCCCCGCATTAATCTGGAGGAGGATGCAGCCCCGCATTAATCTGGAGGAGGATGCAGCCCCGCATTAATCTGGAGGAGGATGCAGCCCCGCATTAATCTGGAGGAGGCTGCAGCCCCGCATTAATCTGGAGGAGGATGCAGCCCCGCATTAATCTGGAGGAGGATGCAGCCCCGCATTAATCTGGAGGAGGATGCAGCCCCGCATTAATCTGGAGGAGGCTGCAGCCCCGCATTAATCTGGAGGAGGATGCAGCCCCGCATTAATCTGGAGGAGAATGCAGCCCCGCATTAATCTGGAGGAGGCTGCAGCCCCGCATTAATCTGGAGGAGGATGCAGCCCCGCATTAATCTGGAGGAGGATGCAGCCCCGCATTAATCTGGAGGAGGCTGCAGCCCCGCATTAATCTGGAGGAGGATGCAGCCCCGCATTAATCTGGAGGAGGATGCAGCCCCGCATTAATCTGGAGGAGGATGCAGCCCCGCATTAATCTGGAGGAGGATGCAGCCCCGCATTAATCTGGAGGAGGCTGCAGCCCCGCATTAATCTGGAGGAGGCTGCAGCCCCGTATTAATCTGGAGGAGGATGCAGCCCCGCATTAATCTGGAGGAGGATGCAGCCCCGCATTAATCTGGAGGAGGATGCAGCCCCGCATTAATCTGGAGGAGGATGCAGCCCCGCATTAATCTGGAGGAGGCTGCAGCCCCGCATTAATCTGGAGGAGGCTGCAGCCCCGCATTAATCTGGAGGAGGATGCAGCCCCGCATTAATCTGGAGGAGGCTGCAGCCCCGCATTAATCTGGAGGAGGATGCAGCCCCGCATTAATCTGGAGTAGGCTGCAGCCCCGCATTAATCTGGAGGAGGATGCAGCCCCGCATTAATCTGGAGGAGGATGCAGCCCCGCATTAATCTGGAGGAGGATGCAGCCCCGCATTAATCTGGAGGAGGATGCAGCCCCGCATTAATCTGGGGGAGGATGCAGCCCTGTATTAATCTGGAGGAGGCTGCAGCCCCGCATTAATCTGGAGGAGGCTGCAGCTCCGCATTAATCTGGAGGAGGCTGCAGCCCAGTGTTAATCTGGAGGAGGATGCAGCCCCGCATTAATCTGGAGGAGGCTGCAGCCCCGCATTAATCTGGAGGAGGATGCAGCCCCGCATTAATCTGGGGGAGGATGCAGCCCTGTATTAATCTGGAGGAGGATGCAGCCCCGCATTATTCTGGAGGAGGCTGCAGCTCCGTATTAATCTGGAGGAGGATGCAGCCCCGCATTAATCTGGAGGAGGATGCAGCCCCGCATTAATCTGGAGGAGGATGCAGCCCCGCATTAATCTGGAGGAGGATGCAGCCCCGCATTAATCTGGAGGAGGCTGCAGCCCCGCATTAATCTGGAGGAGGATGCAGCCCCGCATTAATCTGGAGGAGGCTGCAGCCCCGCATTAATCTGGAGGAGGCAGCAGCCCCGCATTAATCTGGAGGAGGATGCAGCCCCGCATTAATCTGGAGGAGGATGCAGCCCCGCATTAATCTGGAGGAGGATGCAGCCCCGCATTAATCTGGAGGAGGATGCAGCCCCGCATTAATCTGGAGGAGGATGCAGCCCCGCATTAATCTGGGGGAGGATGCAGCCCTGTATTAATCTGGAGGAGGATGCAGCCCCGCATTATTCTGGAGGAGGCTGCAGCTCCGTATTAATCTGGAGGAGGATGCAGCCCCGCATTAATCTGGAGGAGGATGCAGCCCCGCATTTATCTGGAGGAGGATGCAGCCCCGCATTAATCTGGAGGAGGCTGCAGCTAGGGCTGCAACAACGAATCGATAAAATCGATAAAAATCGACTTTTAAAAGCGTTGGCAACGAATTTAATCATCGATTAGTTGTGTCGCGCGATTAATGCGTCATCCGCCGCCGCCGTCATCCGGGGGAAGAAAAAAAAATATGGCGGAGCGAGTCAGCGCCGCAGTTGCAGTGTTGCCAACTCAGCGACTTTTCAGACCCCTCCAGCGACTATTTTTCAAAAAAGCGACTAGCGACAAATCTGGCGACTTTTTACGGTGTCACTGGCGGCTTTTGCCTGCCGTGGGGCGCCTCCCCCATTCCAACGCCTTTCTCCCTCTCCCACAGGAATCCCTCTCAGCGCGGCAGTCAGAGCCGCAGGATTTTAGTGAGGAGTTTACCCTCAGCGTCCAGACTGCAAATGAAGCGCGCATGCGCCGGGATTGACGGCGCAAATTGATCACAATAATTAAAATAGCCTGCGCTTTGTAAAGTGAAAAAAGTGATAACATGCAACTTTTGTAAAAACAAATGAACATGGCACGGAAGCACCACTGTTATGACGCAGCACCTGAAAAGAAAACACTTTGGAGCCTTCGATGGCAGTGAAGAGAGCTGATCAGCAGGATGAGTAACCATGTTTGTTTGGTTTTAAAGTGGGGAAACGTAACGTTAGTTTCTCAGGTAGCTCATCTGATGCTTTCCTTACCTTGTTAGTAGGTTACAGACAGTGATAAGGTTGGCTACTTATTTTACTTTTAATTTCATTTACATTTGTTTAAGCAGCGTTTATATTTTCTTTATAAATAAATTAACTTGCAAATTATGAGGGCAAGGCTTTTAAAGTTTAAATCTTCTGGCAAAGATAAAGTAAAGAAGATCCTGCAATTTATGGAAGTAAAGCAGAACAAAATCCAGCAAGATCAGTAATATGTCAATTAATTATCTGCCACATTCCCATGTAAATATCTGTCTTTGGAGGATGTGTTTTTTTACCACCCCTAGTTCTCTCATTTTTATTCCAAATACAATTTATAATTTGAATCACAGGGCTATTTTTATCTCTATGGTTCAGTATTTTCTCAAGCAGCAACTTTAACTGCTATACTTTCCTGTCTTAAAAGGCAGAACTCTTCTGGTCTAAAAAAAACTCATTTCTTGAAATGGGGGGACCTATTGTTGAACCCCTTAGGGGCTTTAAAAAACAAAAATGCCTGTCTCTTTTTGCGCTTTATGAACCAAAGTATCCTATATTTTGTGGATGTACAGCTACATTTCTCATGTAAGTTTGCGTAGTTTTTACACAAACATTTATTTTTCATATTGCACCAGTACAGTTAATGAGCAACCTGTACTTGTGTGCTTGTTTGTTCTGTCTAAAATGTTTATTTTGGAATAAAGAGGTTAATATAAAATTTTTTTTTTTGTCCGATTCATCGATTAATCGAAAAAATAATCGGCCGATTCATCGATTTTTAAAATAATCGTTAGTTGCAGCCCTAGCTGCAGCCCCGCATTAATCTGGAGGAGGATGCAGCCCCGCATTAATCTGGAGGAGGCTGCAGCTCCGTATCAATCTGGAGGAGGATGCAGCCCCGTATTAATCTGGAGGAGGATGCAGCCCCGTATTAATCTGGAGGAGGATGCAGCCCCGTATTAATCTGGAGGAGGCTGCAGCCCCGTATCAATCTGGAGGAGGCTGCAGCCCCGCATTAATCTGGAGGAGAATGCAGCCCCGCATTAATCTGGAGGAGAATGCAGCCCCGCATTAATCTGGAGGAGGCTGCAGCCCCGCATTAATCTGGAGGAGGATGCAGCCCCGCATTAATCTGGGGGAGGATGCAGCCCTGTATTAATCTGGAGGAGGATGCAGCCCCGCATTATTCTGGAGGAGGCTGCAGCTCCGTATTAATCTGGAGGAGGATGCAGCCCCGCATTAATCTGGAGGAGGATGCAGCCCCGCATTAATCTGGAGGAGGATGCAGCCCCGCATTAATCTGGAGGAGGCTGCAGCCCCGCATTAATCTGGAGGAGGATGCAGCCCCGCATTAATCTGGAGGAGGCTGCAGCCCCGCATTAATCTGGAGGAGGCAGCAGCCCCGCATTAATCTGGAGGAGGATGCAGCCCCGCATTAATCTGGAGGAGGATGCAGCCCCGCATTAATCTGGAGGAGGATGCAGCCCCGCATTAATCTGGAGGAGGATGCAGCCCCGCATTAATCTGGAGGAGGATGCAGCCCCGCATTAATCTGGAGGAGGATGCAGCCCCGCATTAATCTGGAGGAGGCTGCAGCCCCGCATTAATCTGGAGGAGGATGCAGCCCCGCATTAATCTGGAGGAGGATGCAGCCCCGCATTAATCTGGAGGAGGCTGCAGCCCCGCATTAATCTGGAGGAGGATGCAGCCCCGCATTAATCTGGAGGAGGCTGCAGCCCTGTATTAATCTGGAGGAGGCTGCAGCCCCGTATTAATCTGGAGGAGGATGCAGCCCCGCATTAATCTGGAGGAGGATGCAGCCCCGCATTAATCTGGAGGAGGATGCAGCCCCGCATTAATCTGGAGGAGGATGCAGCCCCGCATTAATCTGGAGGAGGATGCAGCTCCGTATTAATCTGGAGGAGGATGCAGCCCATTATCAATCTGGAGGAGGCTGCAGCTCCGTATTAATCTGGAGGAGGCTGCAGCCCCGCATTAATCTGGAGGAGGATGCAGCCCCGCATTAATCTGGAGGAGGATGCAGCCCCGCATTAATCTGGAGGAGGATGCAGCCCCGCATTAATCTGGAGGAGGCTGCAGCCCCGCATTAATCTGGAGGAGGATGCAGCCCCGCATTAATCTGGAGGAGGCTGCAGCCCCGCATTAATCTGGAGGAGGCAGCAGCCCCGCATTAATCTGGAGGAGGATGCAGCCCCGCATTAATCTGGAGGAGGATGCAGCCCCGCATTAATCTGGAGGAGGATGCAGCCCCGCATTAATCTGGAGGAGGATGCAGCCCCGCATTAATCTGGAGGAGGATGCAGCCCCGCATTAATCTGGAGGAGGATGCAGCCCCGCATTAATCTGGAGGAGGATGCAGCCCCGCATTAATCTGGAGGAGGCTGCAGCCCCGCATTAATCTGGAGGAGGCTGCAGCCCCGTATTAATCTGGAGGAGGATGCAGCCCCGCATTAATCTGGAGGAGGATGCAGCCCCGCATTAATCTGGAGGAGGATGCAGCCCCGCATTAATCTGGAGGAGGATGCAGCCCCGCATTAATCTGGAGGAGGATGCAGCCCCGTATTAATCTGGAGGAGGATGCAGCTCCGTATTAATCTGGAGGAGGATGCAGCCCATTATCAATCTGGAGGAGGCTGCAGCTCCGTATTAATCTGGAGGAGGCTGCAGCCCCGCATTAATCTGGAGGAGGATGCAGCCCCGCATTAATCTGGAGGAGGATGCAGCCCCGCATTAATCTGGAGGAGGATGCAGCCCCGCATTAATCTGGGGGAGGCTGCAGCTCCGTATTAATCTGGAGGAGGATGCAGCCCCGCATTAATCTGGAGGAGGCTGCAGCCCCGCATTAATCTGGAGGAGGATGCAGCCCCGCATTAATCTGGAGGAGGCTGCAGCTAGGGCTGCAACAACGAATCGATAAAATCGATAAAAATCGACTTTTAAAAGCGTTGGCAACGAATTTAATCATCGATTAGTTGTGTCGCGCGATTAATGCGTCATCCGCCGCCGCCGTCATCCGGGGGAAGAAAAAAAAATATGGCGGAGCGAGTCAGCGCCGCAGTTGCAGTGTTGCCAACTCAGCGACTTTTCAGACCCCTCCAGCGACTATTTTTTAAAAAAGCGACTAGCGACAAATCTGGCGACTTTTTACGGTGTCACTGGCGGCTTTTGCCTGCCGTGGGGCGCCTCCCCCATTCCAACGCCTTTCTCCCTCTCCCACAGGAATCCCTCTCAGCGCGGCAGTCAGAGCCGCAGGATTTTAGTGAGGAGTTTACCCTCAGCGTCCAGACTGCAAATGAAGCGCGCATGCGCCGGGATTGACGGCGCAAATTGATCACAATAATTAAAATAGCCTGCGCTTTGTAAAGTGAAAAAAGTGATAACATGCAACTTTTGTAAAAACAAATGAACATGGCACGGAAGCACCACTGTTATGACGCAGCACCTGAAAAGAAAACACTTTGGAGCCTTCAATGGCAGTGAAGAGAGCTGATCAGCAGGATGAGTAACCATGTTTGTTTGGTTTTAAAGTGGGGAAACGTAACGTTAGTTTCTCAGGTAGCTCATCTGATGCTTTCCTTACCTTGTTAGTAGGTTACAGACAGTGATAAGGTTGGCTACTTATTTTACTTTTAATTTCATTTACATTTGTTTAAGCAGCGTTTATATTTTCTTTATAAATAAATTAACTTGCAAATTATGAGGGCAAGGCTTTTAAAGTTTAAATCTTCTGGCAAAGATAAAGTAAAGAAGATCCTGCAATTTATGGAAGTAAAGCAGAACAAAATCCAGCAAGATCAGTAATATGTCAATTAATTATCTGCCACATTCCCATGTAAATATCTGTCTTTGGAGGATGTGTTTTTTTACCACCCCTAGTTCTCTCATTTTTATTCCAAATACAATTTATAATTTGAATCACAGGGCTATTTTTATCTCTATGGTTCAGTATTTTCTCAAGCAGCAACTTTAACTGCTATACTTTCCTGTCTTAAAAGGCAGAACTCTTCTGGTCTAAAAAAAACTCATTTCTTGAAATGGGGGGACCTATTGTTGAACCCCTTAGGGGCTTTAAAAAACAAAAATGCCTGTCTCTTTTTGCGCTTTATATACCAAAGTACCCTATATTTTGTGGATGTACAGCTACATTTCTCATGTAAGTTTGCGTAGTTTTTACACAAACATTTATTTTTCATATTGCACCAGTACAGTTAATGAGCAACCTGTACTTGTGTGCTTGTTTGTTCTGTCTAAAATGTTTATTTTGGAATAAAGAGGTTAATATAAAATTTTTTTTTTTGTCCGATTCATCGATTAATCGAAAAAATAATCGGCCGATTCATCGATTTTTAAAATAATCGTTAGTTGCAGCCCTAGCTGCAGCCCCGCATTAATCTGGAGGAGGATGCAGCCCCGCATTAATCTGGAGGAGGATGCAGCCCCGCATTAATCTGGAGGAGGATGCAGCCCCGCATTAATCTGGAGGAGGATGCAGCCCCGCATTAATCTGGAGGAGGATGCAGCCCCGCATTAATCTGGAGGAGGATGCAGCCCCGCATTAATCTGGAGGAGGATGCAGCCCCGCATTAATCTGGAGGAGGATGCAGCCCCGCATTAATCTGGAGGAGGCTGCAGCCCCGCATTAATCTGGATGAGGCTGCAGCCCCGTATTAATCTGGAGGAGGATGCAGCCCCGCATTAATCTGGAGGAGGATGCAGCCCCGCATTAATCTGGAGGAGGCTGCAGCCCCGTATTAATCTGGAGGAGGATGCAGCCCCGCATTAATCTGGAGGAGGATGCAGCCCCGCATTAATCTGGAGGAGGATGCAGCCCCGCATTAATCTGGAGGAGGATGCAGCCCCGCATTAATCTAGAGGAGGCTGCAGCCCCGTATTAATCTGGAGGAGGATGCAGCCCATTATCAATCTGGAGGAGGCTGCAGCTCCGTATTAATCTGGAGGAGGATGCAGCCCCGCATTAATCTGGAGGAGGCTGCAGCCCCGTATTAATCTGGAGGAGGATGCAGCCCCGCATTAATCTGGAGGAGGATGCAGCCCCGTATTAATCTGGAGGAGGATGCAGCCCCGTATTAATCTGGAGGAGGATGCAGCTCCGTATTAATCTGGAGGAGGATGCAGCCCAGTATCAATCTGGAGGAGGCTGCAGCTCCGTATTAATCTGGAGGAGGATGCAGCCCCGCATTAATCTGGAGGAGGCTGCAGCCCAGTATCAATCTGGAGGAGGATGCAGCTCCGTATTAATCTGGAGGAGGATGCAGCCCCGCATTAATCTGGAGGAGGATGCAGCCCAGTATCAATCTGGAGGAGGCTGCAGCCCAGTATCAATCTGGAGGAGGCTGCAGCTCCGTATTAATCTGGAGGAGGATGCAGCCCCGCATTAATCTGGAGGAGGATGCAGCCCAGTATCAATCTGGAGGAGGCTGCAGCCCCGCATTAATCTGGAGGAGGATGCAGCCCCGCATTAATCTGGAGGAGGCTGCAGCTCCGTATTAATCTGGAGGAGGATGCAGCCCCGCATTAATCTGGAGGAGGCTGCAGCCCAGTATCAATCTGGAGGAGGATGCAGCCCCGTATTAATCTGGAGGAGGATGCAGCCCCGCATTAATCTGGAGGAGGCTGCAGCCCAGTATCAATCTGGAGGAGGATGCAGCTCCGTATTAATCTGGAGGAGGATGCAGCCCCGCATTAATCTGGAGGAGGATGCAGCCCAGTATCAATCTGGAGGAGGCTGCAGCCCAGTATCAATCTGGAGGAGGCTGCAGCTCCGTATTAATCTGGAGGAGGATGCAGCCCCGCATTAATCTGGAGGAGGATGCAGCCCAGTATCAATCTGGAGGAGGCTGCAGCTCCGCATTAATCTGGAGGAGGATGCAGCCCCGTATTAATCTGGAGGAGGATGCAGCTCCGTATTAATCTGGAGGAGGCTGCAGCCCCGCATTAATCTGGAGGAGGATGCAGCCCCGTATTAATCTGGAGGAGGATGCAGCTCCGTATTAATCTGGAGGAGGCTGCAGCCCCGCATTAATCTGGAGGAGGATGCAGCCCCGCATTAATCTGGAGGAGGATGCAGCCCAGTATTAATCTGGAGGAGGATGCAGCTCCGTATTAATCTGGAGGAGGCTGCAGCCCCGCATTAATCTGGAGGAGGATGCAGCCCAGTATCAATCTGGAGGAGGATGCAGCCCCGTATTAATCTGGAGGAGGCTGCAGCCCAGTGTTAATCTGATTTAATTTGATTTGTTTACGTTTTCAGGGTGGGTGAAGACATGCTGGGAACCATAACAGAGACCGTTTGGTTTGACGATTCATTAAGAGGTTTTTAATTAGTTAACATCAATGTGATCATTTAGTAAAGCAGATGCTCGCTATCATAGCGAAATTCTAATATCAGCAGATGTTAGAGTTTATCCTTTTGCCTGGTTTGATTATTAAAATTGTTGGCTCTGGATTCTTAATAAATCCTAAATCTTAAGCTGATTATTTTAGGCCAAACTCTGTAATTAAATGTTTATTACTTTGCTAAAGGCTGACTGACATGCTCCATCCAAATCTACTCTGTTATTCTGCTCACCATTGTTTTCTTTGACATTAAGAGCAGAATGAGCTGCTCACCTGGTGCAGAGTCTCATCAGCAGACAGGTTGATCAGGATGTGGTAACAGTCCTTAACTATGGCCACAGAGGGGTCAGAGGTCAATGCAAGAAGAGCAGCGATGAGGTCGGCTTTAGAGCAGAGGAAGCGGCAGCCATCTCTAGAAAGAAGAAACAGAGAACAGCTCTAAGAGTTGAAATGGCTGGTGCCCTGCAGTCTACAGGGGAGAGGCAGGTCCAGCCTGGACAGGTCGCCAGCCTGAAAGTTAAATCTGTTCGGCTCTTTTTGGCATTAAGACAATTATTCTTATTGCCACATCACCAGACAGGACACTGTAAAAAAAATAAAAATAAAATAAGAAAATGAATGGGAAAATCATGGGAAATCCATCATCTTTTGGTCGGTCTGGGGACGTTTTCAAGAAAACTATAAATCTCAGAGTAATTCCAAAGACATTGTGTGAAAGCAAAGCTTCAGTCTACAAACTGACAACAAATGGTGACTGTAGATTAAATGATACCGGCGTGAGAGCGATATAAAAACATTTCATGTTTGCAGAAATCGTCTCTCTCCCGCTCTCAAAAATCCCGTGTCTGATTTTCCCTCAACCTTTGTGGAGCTTAAAGACTGATTTTAGAAAAACCGTAGCAGTTATCAACATACCGTTTTCAGTTTTTGAAAAACGAAGGATTTGCCTACAAATGGCCATTTAAACTGAGTTTGTAGGTTAATGTATGCCCACACAGCAGAGGCTCAAATTAGGGATGCAAGATATTGGGATTTTGGCCGATATCCGATATGCCGATATTTTAAAACTCATGTAGCCGATAACCGATACCGATACTGATGTTAAAGCTGGACAAAAATACGTAGTCATTGAAAATAGCAGTTTTGTTATCCATTTCTGACACTTTGAAAAATAATATACTCAAATATATTTTCATATGCTGATATCAAATAGATTTTTAAAAACGCGGTATCGATCTATTTTACTTTCAATATCTCGTGAAATTTCATTGTTCTGTTACAAACTCTCCTGATATTTTGCAAATTCTTGTGAGATTTTGTCAGTAAAATAGATCGATACCACGTCAATGAGTTTTAAAATATCGGCATATCGGATATCGGCCAAAATCCTAATATCGTGCATCCCTAGTAACTAGTTACTTCGGTTGAGCAATACTTAGCAACTATTGTTGGAACCAAGTTATAGTTGATATATTTTAAATGTATGATTAGGGATAATTTCCATGTTTTGGTTTAAAGTGTATTTTGTTTTTGTCATTGGGAAATTAGTAAATTCATAGAATAATATATGGAGGTTGGTTGGAGACCCCAATGTAGACGGAGGCGGAGGTGAATCTTGTAGATTTAATGAAAAAAAAAAGAGGCAGACAACCAAAAATCCAAAATACTAAGAAACAAAAAATAAATAAATAGTGAATTCCTCCGCTGTGAGATCAATAAAGCTCATCTAATAAAAAACTAAATAAAATAAAACTTCAGGGGAAAACTCACATAGGAGCCTGAGATGAGGAAACAGCAAAACAACAACAAGGAAGCAGCACTGAGTGACTGCAGAGGTGGAGTATATAAGGGGAACAGAACAAAGGATGGACTAGTGAGCTGGATATAGAGCAGGTGTGAATAGAACTAACTATAAGGAAGCCAAGGGGAAAGGAAACAAGCACAAGGGGGCAGCAGAGAGTAACTAAAGACTGCTGGAATAGAATGGAAAATGAACCAAAGATCAACAAAACACAATAACTGAAAACTAAAAAAGGGGAGAATAGAGATAGAATGAAGCAGAATTATCAAAAAGGGTCCCTATGTCCTCCAGCAGTCTAAGCCTATAGCAGCATAACTATAGAGATAGCTCAGGATAACATGAGCCACTCTAACTAGAAGCTTTATCAAAAAGGAAAGTTTTAAGTTTCAGTTTTATTATTGTATAAGGATTATATCCTGGGTTACCATGGCGGAGCTCCAAGGCAGCGGCCAAGAGCAGCTCCCGTCGACAATTTCACAAAACATGCCGCTTAAAATGTTACAAACTAGACATCAAACCCACATCTATGATCGCCAACGCCTGCTGGAGCTACGGTCACAAAATGTTTTAAATACTGACATGTTTAACCGTTTAAAAAGCTGCAGAGCGCTACGGATGGATGTCAACAACACAACAGCGGGAAATAACCTGGAGGAAGAGAGGCTGCAGAGGGGGACTAACTGCAAAGCTAAAGAGAAACTAATAAGCTCTAATAATTAATAAAATTAAATCCTCATAACCAGCCCTCCAACATTGCTGATAAAGGAAAGTTCAGATTTCTGCTGCCTGCTGTTGGCAGCTCTGACAGCCGCTTCAGTTTTCTGTTTTCCTCTTGAACTGATCATCTACTTCCCTCTTTTATTTTATTTTCCAGTTGTGTTTAATAATATTCTTCTATTCTTTAGGGATGCACGATATAATCGGCCCCCTATCGGTATCGGCCTGTATCGGCCTTAAAACTGAATATCAGACATCGGCCAGTCCTCCGATATTTGACCCGATATTTGATCAGCTTCTGAGTTTCTAAAGTCTAAAAAAAAAATAAAAATACTACTTCTTCTTCTTCCTCAAAAAATTCTTTTTTACAGACTTAAAAACTTCTAAAGACGAGGGAAAAAATATTGATACATTAAAATATCCCAATATCTTCATATGCTGATATATTGCCATTTAAAAACACCATATCAATCTCTTTTACTAATGAAATATTGCTATATGTCATCGTTATGCTACGAAATACCCCGAAAATTCACGAAATTTTGCCATATTTTTATATGTTGATATATTGACGCGGTATGGATCTATTTTACTGACAAAATCTCACAAGAATTTGCAAAATATCACGAGAGTTTGTAACAGAACGATGAAATTTCACGAGATTTTGAAAGTAAAATAGATCGATACCGCGTTTCTAAAAATCAATTTGATATCAGCATATGAAAATATATTTGAGTATATTATTTTTCAAAGTGTCAGAAATGGATAACAAAACTGCTATTTTCAATGACTGCTTATTTTTGTCCAGCTTTAACATCGATATCGATATCGGTTATCGGCTACATGAGTTTTAAAATATCGGCATATCGGATATCGGCCAAAATCCCAATATCGAGGATCCCTACTAGGGTTGCAACTAACGATTATTTTAAAAATCGATGAATCGGCCGATTATTTTTTCGATCAATCGATGAATCGGACAAAAAATATTTTTTATATTAACCTCTTTATTCCAAAATAAACATTTTAGACAGAACAAACAAGCACACAAGTACAGGTTGCTCATTAACTGTCCTGGTGCAATATGAAAAATAAATGTTTGTGTAAAAACTACGCAAACTTACATGAGAAATGTAGCTGTACATCCACAAAATATAGGCTACTTTGTTTCATAAAGTGCAAAAAAAGACATTTTGTTTTTAAAAGCCCCTAAGGGGTTCAAACAATAGGTCCCACCATTTCAACAAATGAGTTTTTTTTAGACTAGAAGAGTTCTGCCTTTTAAGACAGGAAAGTATATATCTTCTGTTTGTTGTGCAGATTCAACAGTTTATAAATGGTATAAATAAAGCTGAAATTGACATAAAGCTATAGAGTAGTGATGTTATGAGATGAGATGAGCCGAGGCTTCGAGGCGTGTGTCGAGTAATGGAGGGGGCGTTTCCCCGAAGCCCGTGTCGAGTAATGGAGGGGGCGTTTCCCTGAAGTTCCCTGGTTGTTTTTCCAACCAATCTAGTTGCTTAAAGCTAATTTGGTTAGAATAAATAATGTAATGATCAAAATTTGAGGAAACCACCGGACAAAGCCACTGTTAACACGTCAGTGTTAAGAAGTATTTTCTCCTATGCGTTGCTATCTACATAAGTGACGTCATCTGTAACAGAGAGACTCCAACTCTAGAGGTTGATGGTTCAAGACCTGTCTTTGACTTTTAAAAGTTGCGATTAAACTTAATTATTTTGGCTGATGAGACTAATTTGCATTGTTTTGCCCGAGTGAAAATATAGATTGGGTAAATTAGGTTGGTTTAGCCAAAAGATTGGTTGAACACAACTTCCAACCTGATTAAAACCAAAAAACATGGAAAAACTATCATGTTTGAATAAAAATGACTAACACCTTTCATTTTGCTCATCATTGCCCAATTTGCACAAACACTTTCACTGCCTGCTTGAGTTTATTTCACTAAAATGGCAGAAAAACTGTGCACCTTAAATGATTGCTCTAAGAAACTTTACACTTAAAAAAACCTACAAAAGATTTTATGATACACGCCAACCATTAATAATTTCAAGGGAAATTAAAAGGGGAAAAAAAGAAAAACAGTTGCAAAAAAAAAAATCACATATTTTATTTTAAACTGTAGTTCTGCTTTCCACCAGTAGGTGGTGACATCTTCACATGGAGCCTCATGAACTGTGGGGATCGTTGAAGCAATTTGGCCAAACGATTCAAAGCCTCATGAGGCTTCATCTCACCATCACTACTATAGAGGCAATCCTGCAGAGGAGCCTCCAGTATCTCACCTGTTCCCAGACAGTCCCAGGATGTACTCTGTAGCCTTTCCCTTCACATCAGGCCTGGTGCTGGGGGTCAGGAAGGACAGCAGCTCTGCAGCTTCACAGTCACTCAGCATCTTCTACACTATCACAGATAAACACATCCAATCAGCCAGCAGCTCAACAATACAGGCAAGATGAGGCTTAATGCAAAAACAGAGCAAGTAAAGCAGAAAATCGTTCATGTAATTAATTTTGTAGACAGTAGAAATTTTATTTTACCAAAACCAAACATGCTTCCAACCTCTGACCCTCATTTCAAAATAAAACACCTTCAGCTGAAGTCTCTTTCCCTTCATCATGTGTGGAGGAATTTATCTGATTTTATTTCACAACATTCATGCATGTTTATAAAGCGGGAATCGTCCAGAAGATATTTAAGTTTTTTAAAAAAGTTTGTTCTTTAGTTAAAATCACCTTAAAATCGCCGCAGGGCTCCTCCTGATATCATGTCACAAAATCCTTCACAGAAACGGCTCCGATATGAAGAAAATCATGTGGAAGAAACAGCATGTGGGTACGTTAGCCTCAAACATGACGTCACTTCCGGATTGGGGTTCTTCTTTCTTCTTCTTCTTCTTCTTATTGATTTTTATTGGCGGTTGGCAAAAAACGTTAAGTGAGCATTACCGCCACCAACTGGTATGGAGTGTGGACTACATGGCAGAAAAAAAAAAAAAAAAATTAAAATAAAACTATACCCTATTATACAACCTAATCTGTTTCAAAAATTCAAATATAACCCGATATCCTCTGCTTCCTGATTCCTTCTGCAATAAATCGACAATGTCAAGTTTCATTTTCATGTCACTAAGTTTCCTTATTAACCTGTTTCTCTGTATCGAATATTTACTACAATTTAAAATGACATGTTCCACAGTCTCATCTTCCCCACAGTCACATTTCCCTGTCTGATGTTTCCCTATCAAAAATAACGATCTATTCAATCCAGTGTGTCCTATTCTAAGTCGAGAAATAATAATCTCTTCTCTCCTGTTCCTTTCTGATCTTCTCATTGGTCCAATTCTCTTTTGTATTTTATAAAGCCACCTTCCTTTCTTTTCTTCATTCCATAACTTTTGCCACCTCTCTTTTGCTTTTTGTTTAATTATACCCTTTATTTCTGTTATACCAAAACTAACATTAATGTCTACCCTTAACTTATTGGTACTCTCCTTAGCCATCCTGTCTGCCCTTTCATTTCCTTTTATCTCGTTATGTGCCGGTCTTGTGCGAAATTCTGTTTCCCAATGAAAATCTGTTCCCCCTGTGTCGGGAGCGCGCATTGCAGCCAGAGGGGCGGATCTGACCATTCTGAAGACGCTCCTGATCATTTTTCGGTAAAAACAGCTCATATATTATGTTTCCCATCTCAACTTTGTAACATCCATTTTAATCGGTTGCTCTTTTTTAAAAAATTGTAAAATAAATACATTAACGAGGTCCTCTTACGCTGTTGTGTGTTGTTTTTTTAAACGCCAAGAGAATCGGTATTTCTCCAACTTTTGTCCCTTCAGCCTGACAGAAATAAACGTCAGTCACCGAACACAACAACACGTAGTGTATTTTTAATTTTTCATTGCTGATATAAGAGGATGGAAACTGGCTGATAGCAGGGCACACAAATTAAGACGTCCTGCGAAGATGAGAGAAGAATTTCTGGTTAATCACCTTCTAATGTAAAATATGACAGATTACTGGATTAAGGACATTTACAGGTGCTGGTCATAAAATTAGAATATCATGAAAAAGTAGATTGATTTCAGTAATTCCATTTAAAAAGTGAAACTTGTATATTATATTCATACATTACATACAAACTCATATATTTCAGATGTTTATTTTGTTTAATTTTGATGATTACAAATGACAACAAATGAAAATCTCAAATTCATCATATCAGAAAATTAGAATATTGTGAAAAGGTTCAAAATTGATGGCCCCTGGTGCCACACTCTAATCAGCTAATTAACTCAAACCACCTGCAAAAGCCTTTAAATGGTCTTTCAGTCTAGTTCTATAGGCTACACAATCATGGGGAAGACTGCTGACTTGACAGTTGTCCAAAAGACGACCATCGACACCTTGCACAAGGAGGGCAAGACACAAAAGGTAATCGCTAAAGAGGCTGGCTGTTCACAGAGCTCAGTGTCCAAGCACATTAATAGAGAGGCGAAGGGAAGGAAAAGATGTGGTCGAAAAAAGTGTACAAGCAAGAGAGATAACCGCACCCTGGAGAGGATTGTGAAACAAAACCCATTCAAAAATGTGGGGGAGATTCACAAAGAGTGGACTGCAGCTGGAGTGAGTGCTTCAAGAACCACCACACACAGACGTATGAAAGACATGGGTTTCTGCTGTCGCATTCCTTGTGTCAAGCCACTCTTGAACCACAGACAGCGTCAGAAGCGTCTTGCCTGGGCTAAAGAGAAACAGGACTGGACTGCTGGTGAGTGGTCCAAAGTCATGTTCTCTGATGAAAGTAAATTTTGCATTTCCTTTGGAAATCAAGGTCCCAGAGTCTGGAGGAAAAGAAGAGAGGCACTTCATCCACGTTGCTTGAAGTCCAGTGTAAAGTTTCCACAGTCAGTGATGGTTTGGGGTGCCATGTCATCTGCTGGTGTTGGTCCATTGTGTTTTCTGAGGTCCAGGGTCAACGCAGCCACATACCAGGAAGTTTTAGAGCACTTCATGCTTCCTGCAGCTGACCAACTTTTTGGAGATGCAGATTTCATTTTCCAACAGGACTTGGCACCTGCACACAGTGCCAAAGCTACCAGTACCTGGTTGAAGGACCATGGTATCCCTGTTCTTAATTGGCCAGCAAACTCTCCTGACCTTAACCCCATAGAAAATCTATGGGGTATTGTGAAGAAGAAGATGCAATACACCAGACCCAACAATTCAGAAGAGCTAAAAGCCACTATTAGAGCAACCTGGGCTATCATAACACCTGAGCAGTGCCACAGACTGATCGACTCCATGCCACGCCGCATTGCTGCAGTAATACAGGCCAAAGGAGGCCCAACTAAATACTGAGTGCTGTACATGCTCATACTTTTCATGTTCATACTTTTCAGTTGGCCAACATTTCTATAAATCCTTTGTTTTTATTGGTCTTCAGTAATATTCTAATTTTCTGATATGATGAATTTGAGATTTTCATTTGTTGTCATTTGTAATCATCAAAATTAAACAAAATAAACATCTGAAATATATGAGTTTGTATGTAATGTATGAATATAATATACAAGTTTCACTTTTTAAATGGAATTACTGAAATCAATCTACTTTTTCATGATATTCTAATTTTATGACCAGCACCTGTATAGTATATCATATCACACATATCAATTTTATAGAAATTGGAAACAGTTGCTCTTTGTTTCCCAAAGATATGGGAGGAGGAGAGGAGAGAATGGATGTTTCAGCTGCCTGAAATATTCTGTTCCCCCTCAATAACAGGGGAAGAAATTGATTTACCTGCAAGTCTTTAACTGTGCTTATTCCTCTCACCACCAAGAACAAATCCTGTGGATTTGGTCATATTTACTGGTTATTTGCAAAAATTAAAGCGGGGGAACAGATTATTTCAGCTGCCTGAAATAATCTGTTCCCCCTCCATAAAAGGGGAAGAAATTGATTTACCTGCTAGTCTTTAACTGTGCTTATTCCCCTCACCACCAAGAACAAATCCTATGGATTTGGTCATATTTACTCTTTATTGCAAAAATTAAAGGGGGGGAACAGATTATTTCAGCTGCCTGAAATAATCTGTTCCCCCTCCATAAAAGGGGAAGAAATTGATTTACCCGCAAGTCTTTAACTGTGCTTATTCCCCTCACCACCAAGAACAAATCCTGTGGATTTGGTCATATTTACTCTTTATTGCAAAAATTAAAGGGGGGGAACAGATTATTTCAGCTGCCTGAAATAATCTTCCCCCATAAAAGGGGAAAAAAATGATTTACCCAATCTTAAGTCTTATTCCCCTACCACCAAGAACAATCCTTGGATTTGGTCATATTTACTCTTAT